TGTCATAGATTACTATCAGCATGTGGGTTGCATGTTACTGAAGCATTGTGCAGTCCTTGGGCTGCCTATACATTAGCAAGAGTCAAAGCACACGGGGAGGACTTTACACCTTTTGCCAGCCGCTTTCCAGGCCTCCGTGGTGTAAGCACCCCTGATGTAGTCAAAGGAAGGCCATAAAATCCAATTTGCCTAGCAGAGATTAGGTCTCACTGCCAGATGCTTACTCAGATGCACTGAAGAGTCAGGCTGCGTGAATAGGGCTTGCTAAGATTACCTGGGGTGGATTTTGGGCGCAGCCAAAGGCACATACGTACAGTATACTCACCAGAATAGTGGAAGGATCATCCACTATTATGCTGTGCATGCAGGAGGCCCCAAGTTAAATCCCTGGCATCTCCAATTACAAATAGCATGTGATGAGGAACACACTCAACCTGAGCCCCTGGAGAACTGTTGCCCATCAAAGAAAACAATATGTGGCTAAATAGATAAGTGCATTTGTCAAAAACATTAGAAAATGGGGAGGGCATGAGGAGATGAACTCAACCCAAAGGATGTAGTGTCTTATTTTAAAGGTATGTCCATATGCTTCCAGAGTTAGCTAGTGCTCATTGGGATTGGTGGGGCAGAAGACAGGGAGCCCAAACAGTAATTTAAGCCATAGCCAATGACAGGCAGAGCCTGTCCCCATTCTTCACCCTACAAGAGTGACAGCGAGACCAAAGAGGAGGAAGCTGGTTATCAGTATGAAAGCAGGCAGGTGGGGGCTTTCTGAGGACAGATTGAGATTTGTTTAGGCAGTGTATGCTCCTCAAGATGACAAATACAAAAATTCGAATGAGGATGTCTTCTGGTAATGGGAATGCTGCTGTTCTCTGGAGCGCTGAACCTCCTATGTTCCTGATGCCATTAAAGGGGGAGGAAGGGTTGAGTAGGCATCTTCAGTTGGAACAGAATTGCTTCTTTAGTCCACACTGGGGTTTAAGGCAGCCTGGCAGATCCGTTCAGTGTAGCAATAAGAAAAGGATTTAGCATTTAACCTCTCGAAATTAAACCAGGTGTTAACATCAGTAGCTCAGTCTTATCGGAGCTTTGCCGGAATAACAAATTGTGATAAATGTACAGTTGTGTCTCCTGATTGACCTTGGGAGACGGATGGTGGTTGTGTGGGGGTTTTCCTCCTCCCACATGCAAGAAATTAGCTGAGCTTTGACAGATGCCTGTTTATTTTGAAAAGTGTTTATTTTTTATTCATTCACGTTCCAAACAAGGACAAGTTCACACATTACTTTTTCAGATGTAAGAGTTACTTGTATTTCTCCTTATATTACCTTTGTGGCGGGGATGTGTGAATCATAGACTCATGCACATCCTTGAACCAATATGAATTCTGTAATATACTGGTCTGACCTTGAAGAACTACCATCTGCTATTTGTGTTGGTGGGGGCAGTGGAGAGAGAGAGAGAGAACGAACAGCATGCCAATTGAGCAAGCTAACCACTGCCATGCCTCTGACCCTCTCAAAAACTCTTCCTTTACACTGATGTAGTTTTTAAGTGACATTCTGAAACAGCCTTTTCTTTCTCTTCTTTTGGCTCTAGTTACATTATGGGCCACCACTTCTTCCCCATTCAACTGTGTCTCTCATGTCTCACTTGGAACCCTCTTTCTGCAAAATAATTCTGAGAGCACTGCCATTTCCCACAATCCCCTTGAGCAGTGCAGCTACAGCATCATGGGAAAAACAGAATGGCAGACGCTGGGAGATTGCTACTCACAGAATATTTGCCCCTCCTTACTGTTAAAAAGATGGGATGCAGGTGGCACTGTGGGTTAAACAACAGAGCCTAGGACTTGCCAATCAGAAGGTCGGTGGTTCGAATCCCCATGACGGGGTGAGCTCCCGTTGCTCGGTCCCAGCTCCTGCCAACCTAGCAGTTCGAAAGCACGTCAAAGTGCAGGTAGATAAATAGGTACCGCTCCGGCGGGAAGGTAAACAGTGTTTCCGTGCGCTGCTCTGGTTCTCCAGAAGCGGCTTAGTCATGCTGGCCACATGACCCGGAAGCTGTACGCCGGCTTCCTCGGCCAATAAAGCGAGATGAGTGCCGCAACTCCAGAGTCAGCCACGACTGGACCTAATGGTCAGGGGTCCCTTACTGTTAAAAAGTGTGTGTGTGTTTGTGTGCATACTCCTCTGTTGTGTTACAAGGTCAGCTCCCCCACTGAAGATGCTTTGTCAAAGGGCCCCTCAAAACGGCCCTGTCCTTCCGTATTCCAACTCTGCAATGGGTTCTGCCAGGGGAAAGTTCGGGGTTAAGAACTGAGGTCACTCAGTGGCTCATTTCCAAGGGAGCATTGCCCCTGCACGCACACGTCTCAGTTTAGTAAAGGATATATCCCTCCATCCCTGGGTGGTTGTGTGTGCATGCATCTACATCTGCTTAAGAGAACAGATGGCCTAGTTTGTTTGCTATGTGCGTAAAAAGTGGCTCGAGTTTCAGCTGAAGAATGGCTGCCTTCAGGTTTCCCAAAGAACAGTCTGTTCTATTACGATGAGCAGTAATTGCTCTTGGAGGTTTGTGCTATTGATCAAGTGCTGTGGGTTCAATTTTAGAGCAAAGAGTTGTGTTTGGGATTTAATTGGAGTGATTAATAACTCACAGCAGTGGGGCAGGAATCAATATGGATTTCAAACAGCAGAAAGTAGCATATTTTCCTGCTATAATGTGGCAACTGACAGTTTGTTATTTGCACTTACTTGACTAATTAAAAGCACGACGTCATTTGATATATAGGAGCGCTGTGTCTTTTTAAAAGGTCCAGACATTGGCCTGAATACTTGAATAAGGTTGGATTTTAAAAATGCTTCAGTTACTTTAAGAGGGTCTAAGAACCTCCTCCTCCTCCATGTATTGTTTTGCCTGCACTGCATAAGGCCCTCCTTAGTAAATACAAAAAAGCTTTTGTATCTTTTTGTGGTCAAGGCTATAGATTGCCTCTTACGTCATTGGTCAGGCTTAAGAGCAGGACTGAAGGGATTTAACTCTGCTGTGTTTGATCCAATGTTAGAGCCCAAGATTAAAAGCCTGCATGAAACTTCCAATCTCATTACAGAACCAGCAGCCACAGTAGGTGCCTTGGTTGAAAATCCTGTTTCGGTTTTGCCTTGGACCACTGCCAACAGCCGCCTTGCTATGCAAATGTACCATGACTTACTTTTCTGGGGATTTGAACGGCAATCCTTACCTTTATTTCTTGGCCCCAAACCTTCAGTTCAGGGCCCATTTCCATTCATCTTTTTGTAGCTTTGGCATGTTGTCATGCATGCTTACAGCTAACACTCCTAGATATAGCATGTCAGAATCCAGGAATCAAACCATCTTATTAAAGAACCACAAAAGCAACAAATCACCATCCCGTGGATTCGGTTTTAACACTGTCGGGGTCCTTTTCTGCAAAGAAATTCGCACTCTTTGTGCTGGACATTTTCCCAATCCAATCAAGCTTCTTTTTTTAGGAATAAAGAACTCTGAAATGCTTCAGTTTTCTATAGTGACTTGCCCCAAAGCTGCTTGGTGATGGAGTTGCTGTCCATTTAGGTTGCAAACATATTTAATTGTTCGTTGATTCAAAGGTAAAGCTTATAAAGAAGTGATACATATTTGATCGTTGAGACACATAATCCCAGTGGGGTTTAAGATACTTTAGTCTGCTCAAGGCTGCTAATGCAGATGGCTCAGGCTGGGACTACCAAGCACCACCTGCAAAACCCATTGAATAAAACAAAGTTTCAAGGGGGCAGGCAGTAGGAATTTGAGGAAATGGTTTAATGGTGGGCTATTTGTTTGTATATTTATTGGCAATTATTTGTCTGCCCTTCACCATAAGGTCCCAGGGCAGGTGGTGACAATATAATATACAGCTATGAAGCAAATGAATAAATTTATGACCATGATAAAACAAGTAAAACTGTTCCAAATACATAAATTCAGTACAAGAGGTGAGTCCTGCAAAACAAAATAAGTTGATTGTCTAAGGCCAGGTGCATCTTCACCATATGGCGTAAACTGTAGGGCAAAGATGGTAGTCCAGGGGTAAGCAACCTAAGGCCCGGGGGCTAGATACGGCCCAATCGCCTTCTCAGTCTGGCCCATGGACAGTCCGGGAATCAGCATGTTTTTACATGAGTAGAATGTGTGCTTTTATTTCAAATGCATCTCTGGGTTATTTGTGGGGCATAGGAATTCGTTCATTCCCCCCCCCCAAAAAAAAAAATAGTTTGGCCCACCACATGGTCTGAGGGACGGTGGACCGGCCCACGGCTGAAAAAGGTTGCTGCCCCATGTGGTAGGTACACCTCTGTGACAAAGGAGTTTCAGAATTTAGGAGTTTCCACAGAGAAAACCCTCTCCTGGGCCACCGTTCCCCACACATCATAAGGTGGCGTAATTCCCTCTGCTGATGTTAACGTCCAATTCCGTTGGCAGCCAAGCTGATGCCAAATGTATTGCTCTGCTTCCTTTCAACCGCAAGCAGTGTGACCGTCATGTTTGGGTAGCCCAGTCCATACACACTGCCTTTTGCCCCAGATAGGTCACTTCAGTGCTGCTAACACAGCAAAAGCAACACAGGAGGCAGCAGTTATGAGTTACCGGTCTCTGCAGCCACAGCAGCTGCTGTGATTCTCCAGCAGTTTGACTTTGCCCCCAGGGCTGCACTCCATTGTCTTTCTAGACTGATGGATGCCAACAACTTGGAGCAGGACTGGATATAACTCAATAGCATTAATGTGAACACCTTGAACATCTTGAATTGGGCCCAGAAATAAATTGTGAAGCATTCTTTTTCTCTTTGAGTAGATTGTCCACAAGGGAAGCTCTCATTTAACATGAGGCTTTCATCCAGTTAATTAAATAAATGCATTTAATCATAATTTTTGTGACTAAGCCAATAGTTTTGAATAAAAAGCACTATTTGTTTCTAGATGGTGCATGTATATGATGCCATGTTAGAAGATGTTCCTGCCACCTGCAGATTTCATTTTAAAAAATTAAGAAAATAATAATTAAGTTTTTGTTTTTTTAAGGAGGAGGAATTGTCTGAATCAGGTATCCTTTTAGTAAACTTAAAAATTGGTTTAGTTTATCTAATACACCTAAACCTTAAAAGGGTTTTAATTGATTTAGCAATTATTAAAGTAAAGATTGTGGCCTTAATTTAAAATCTGGTGTGTTTCTCCAAAAACCACATGCTCCCACATAGTGTCATTTAAGTGAGTGGGGTAATTCTAAAATACAGTCTTTTGAAGCATGCAGACTCAGGGTCCTAATTCACTTAGGTGATTTTGAAAGCTGTTTTGAAAACCAGTATGGGGTACTGGCTAGAGTGTTGAAAAACTCAACTTTAAATTGTACTCAGCTATTAAGCTCCCTAGGTGGCCTTGGGCAAATCACACTCGCTCATTCTAACCCACCTCAGAGAGTGGTTTTCAGGCTAAAATACTGCTCTGAGCTACTGGGAGGAAGGGGAAGGTGCAGACGTAATAGAGATAAACGGTAGCCACTTTCGCATCACAAAACACTGTGCAGAAGTCTTGAAATTATGTTTTTCAAAACCTGGGTGCCTCCGAAGTGAAAGAAAATGGGTGCACTTGGAAGCAGATTCCAAGGACCAAGCTGCCAGCCCTTTGCCACGGTTCCTTTCCCCAAGAAGCTTGAAGGCTTGTTACAGCCCCAGCGTACAGCAATCTAGCAGGTTAAATGACTTGGGCAACACAGTTTATTAAAACTGGCAAGTGCTCGCTCCAGTTCTTTTCCTGATAGTCAAGGCTGTCGGAGAGAATAATTGACAGTGGCAGCTGTTCTGAGGGTGTTTTAGATTGTTGCAAGACGATTTGACTTGACAGACAGCTCCGTACCAACGAACTGAAGTGAGAGAGGCTGGATCCAAGTCCTTGCGGAAGGAGCTTCCTGTTGAAAAAGAGAGCAAGAAAAAAAAACCAAAAATTGCTAGGAAAGGCCTAAGTTTGGATCTGGTGACGCTAGGCGTTGCAGAGTGCCCTTTGCTCCAAATTGTGATTCAATGTTTGTTTTGTTTTCAAGATGTAAGACGCTGAATGTTGTTTGATATCTAAATGGTTGTGGAGTACATGTAAGCATAGGGCTGTATCCAACTGAGTTCTACTTAGAGTAGACCCATTGAAATGAATGTGCCTAAATTAGCTGTGTGCATCAATTTCAGTGAGTTTACTCTGAGTAGGATTGGCATTGGCTACAGCTCCTATGATCCAACTGTCCATATTTTCTGACCCTTATTTTCCAGAAACAATCCTATTTTCTGGCACCTGTTCCTGGTAAACCACTGTCCATATTTTTGTCTTTGTGGGCTGGGTTGCAAAAATGTTTAGTGTGAGTGCTTAATGTTTTCATTCTTCAGAGTTCATCTCCCCTCTGTCCCAGGCTCTCTAGAAGTTAATTTTACACACTGCAGCTTCCGAGGTATATTTTAAATTGCTGATAACATATTGAATGTCTTTCTCAAGTATAGCCAGAAAAAGCAAGCACTTTCTCTTCAGACTTTGATGAACAGTCTGTCGTAGAATGAACAAATACAGCAAACACCAACAAATAAGAGGTTTCAGGAATGTGCAACGGTCTGAGGAGGGGCTTGGGTAGTGTACAGTGGTGTCTCGCAAGACGAAATTAATTCGTTCTGCGAGTTTTTTCGTCTTGCGAATTTTTCGTCTTGCGAAGCACGGTTTCAAAAGAAGTTTTGGAAAAGCTTCAAAAATCACCAAAGTCTTCAAAAGCCTCAAAAAAGGCTACCACACCGCGTGCAACTGCACCTCTTCAAGCAATGCACCCTGGGTATTAACGGTTTTAAGAAAAAGGAAACAAACTTGCAAGACGTTTTCGTCTTGCAAAACAAGCCCATAGGGAAATTCGTCTTGCAAAGCAACTCAAAAAAACCAAAATCCCTTTCGTCTTGCAAGTTTTTCGTCTTGCGAGGTACCACTGTATTAGAATTGGGGTGTTGCAAGTGTTGGAGAATGAAACCACAATTACAGGGGCGAGTTTGACCTTCGTTGGGAGAAATAGGTGTCATTAGCAGAATATTGTACATTTGCCTTTACTGCTGTTCATGCATGCAAAGTTTATAGGACCATAGGAAGTTGCCATATACTGAGTCAGATCATAGGTCCATCAGACTCAGTATTGTTTACAGTGACTGGCAGGATTGCAGACAGGTGTCTCTCCCAGCCCTATCTGAAGATGCCAGGGATTATACATGGGACCATCTGCTTCCAGAGCAGATGTTCTGCCATTGATTTACAGCCCTTCCCCTTGACCACCGGTTCTAATGCCTGCTATGAACCAGCCTCTCACATTCAAAATCAGTCTTCCAATCACTGTTTGGAAGATTTACATGAGTTATCCAAAAGAGTCTGATGAGCAGGTTTGCTTGCTTAATTTGGCTTGGCTCACTTGCTTAATCGTTTTATTAAACTGACCCCTAATTCTTGGACTTAGATAAAGGAATTGAAGGGGTGCTTGCCAAATATGTAGATGACACTAAGCTTGGAGGGGTAGCCAATGTAGCAGAAAGATAGAATCGGGTTTCAAGATGATTTTAACAGATTGAAGAACTGGGCCCAAACGTAACAAAATGAATTTCAATAGGGACAAATGCCAGGTTCTACACTTAGACAGGATGAATCAGCAGCACAAATATAAGATGGGGGACATCTGGCTTTGCCAGTAGTACATGTGAAAAGGAGGTGTTGGTATACCACAAGGTTAACCTGAGACAACAGCAGCAGCAGCAGCAGCAGCAGCAGCAGCAGCAGCAGCAGCAGCAAAAACCTGATGCTATTCTAGACTGCATCAACAGAAATATAGCGTCGCAATCAAGCCAAATAATTGTCCTACTCCATTCTGCCTTGGTGAGGCTTACACCCGGAGTTCTTTGTCCAGTTCTGTGCACCACAATTTAAGAACGATATTGACAAACTGGAACATGTGCAGTGGAGGACAATCAAGAAGATCAAGGGTCTGGAAACCAAGCTTTATGTAGAATGGTTGCAAGAGCTGGGCATATTTAGCCTGGATTAGAGGAGACTGAGAGGAGATATGATAGCCATCTTCAAATATCTAAAGGACTGTTACATGGAAGAGGGAACAAGCTTGCTTTCTTCTGCTCTGGAGGGCAAGACTTGAACCAATGGCTTCAAATTGCAAGTAAGGTGATTCTGACTAAACATACAAAAAAAAACCAACAACTTTCTGACACTAAGAGCTGTTCAACAGTGGAACAGTCTCCCTCGGGAGGTTGTGGACTCCCCTTCCTTGGAGGTTTTTAAGAAGAGGTGGGATGGCCATCTGTAATGGATGCTTTAGTTGAGATTCCTGCATTGCAGGAGGTTTGACTAGATAGCCCTCTTTGATTCTATGAAAAACAAAACCATTCAAGGGAAATTAGAACCTTCACATTAATAGTAGTTATTGTTCTGTCTATGACTGGAGTGATACCTAAATAGCGAGATAAAGAATGATTTTCAAAAATTAAGATACTTCTGCAATTCCAGTGTCAGCCTTAGACTTTTTGCACTGGAAGGGAAAAGCCAAAATTACACACACATTTGCCCTTTTCTGCTTTTGAGTGACATTGTTTTTAAAACACAATATAGAGGTGGGGGTTGGAGTTAAGGAAAAGGTGATCCCCCCAAAAAAAATCTCCCACAAAAGGCAGCTGCTCTCTTTTGCTTCCCAGAAAGATTAGTGTTGTACTTGTCATTTTGCCTAAATGCAAAAGGGTCATGGTACTCCAGATGTTGTATTATTTGGACTTTTCTCAAACATCTCCAATGATTAAAGGAAAGTTTTTTTAAAAAGTCAAGCAGCATAACTTGGGCAATAAAAAGTGACTGCCATGTTTGGTTAATTCCTCAATAAACATTATGAAAAATATGCTACTTTTGGCATTTTGTTATGGAAGAGTGGTCTTAAAGTAAATACATTCTAAAAAGAAAATGATGCAAAGTTTCAGCAAGTCATTAAATAACTAGCATATCCCTTACTCTGAGAGAATATAGGAAGCTGCCTTATACAGTGGTACCTCGGGTTAAGTACTTAATTTGTTTCGGAGGTCCGTTCTTAACCTGAAACTGTTCTTAACCTGAAGCACCACTTTAGCTAATGGGGCCTCCTGCTACCGCCGCGCCACCAGAGCCTGATTTCTGTTCTTATCCTGAAGCAAGGTTCTTAACCTGAAGCACTATTTCTGGGTTAGCGGAGTCTGTAACCTGAAGCGTATGTAACCCGAAGTGTTTGTAACCTGAGGTACCACTGTACTGTATTTTAGCTTCTCAGTTTATTTTTCTTACACTTGATTTTAGTGTTTGTTTTTACACTGTAAGTTGCTCTGAGTCACTTCTGTAGGGGGAAAGCAAATAAATATTGGCAGCTACAACAACACTGAATCAGACCATTGATCCATCTAGTCCAATATTTGGTATTCTGACTTGCAATAGTTCTCCAAGGTCTCACTCTTTCCCATTTGTCCTACTTGAGATCCCTTTAAATAGGAGATGCTGAGAAGTATGCCTGAAGCATTCTGTATGCGAGGCATAGCTCCAGTCTTGAGCTATGAGCCCTTCCCTAAAGTTGATCCAGTCTAGCATGTAGCATGGTGGCCCATCTCTGTGAAAAGAAAACCAAGCCAAGCAGATGTAGCTACAGTCTTCATTAACCATCATGCCACTGAGCTTTACTCCTGGCAGACACCATATCAGGGCCAAGACCAAGACGCATTGGGAATTAACCACTCAATTCTCTTCATAGCGCCAGGCTGAAGATACACTGTTTCATCACCATCCATCCTACTTGTGCCCACTGCCATTCATCCACATCTGCCCTCTCTACTCTGATAAACTTTGGGAGGCACCAAAGGGCACCTTGCCTATACCTTCTTCAAAACTGGGCCCATTCTTTGACCAACTGCTAGGGTCTTCCTTATGAGCTCCAGTATTTCTTTATAGTAAGGCACAGTGTGTCAGAAGCTATAAATTTCAAAGTCACCCAGGGCAAAGGGCAGGGAGTCTTCGTATAACATATGACAGTGGTCATGCCACAGCCTGCTTTTTTCTTTGGCTATCTAGCACTAACACCAGTGTAGTCCATTCTTAGATGTGTGCTGCAGCTACAGTAGTTTTAAGGAAGGGGCGAAGGCCACACACATTGCAGAGAGTAAAAGGTAGTGCAGTGCAGGGGGATGCAGAGGCACAGCTTTTCCTTTTATCAAGAAACAAGGAAGAAAATATTTCATTCTTTCCAATCATGATTTTTTATGCATTTATAAACAGATTGCAAAGAACATGCACCTCCCAAGTGAGTGAGAGGGAGAGAGGGCTGCAGGTCTGGAAGTGATTTTGCCCCAAGTGTTGTTTGCATAACTCAGCAACTGCTTATAGGAGTCCTCAAAGAGCAGCTTTTGTGGATTTTAATCTCTTGCACTTGAGCAACACTTAATCAGCTTTGAAGCAAATTCCTCTAACAGAACAGGTTTAATTTGTGTCAGGCCCTTTTCTGGGAGGTGCACTGTGCTCAGTCTACTGGTGTGTATGACATGTTGGCGCATGTCATTTAAGAGTGGCAGGAGGGGGTACCAGTGGCAGGGAAAGACTTGTGCTTTTCTCTGTCTCTCTCTCCGTAAAGTTTAGAGCCAGTTTTAAATACCCCAAGTTGATTTCCCATCAGCTGCACTCAGCAGTTTTCCTTTAGACTTAGCTAAGCCCTTGAAGAATTTGCTTTCTGCTGAAAAGTCAGCATAACAGGCTAGCTAGCGTCCATCCTCCGCTCACAAATCTGTGGAATCTTAAATCAGAGTTACTGAATGTCCTTGAAAGTAATAGCATAATCCGCTTTGTGCACTTCTAAGTTAGGATAATAGTTTTTGTTCATTATTTCTGTTCAGACAAGTCAAGCCAAGGATCTTGACTTCGGGACATTTTGCAAAAGTGTAAGGCCTACAGTAAGCCAAATGAACCAATAATTTGACTTGATAGAAGGCAGCTTCCAATGTCCAGAGGCATCGCAAAAGGAGGCAGCATATTCCTCATTGCAGCACATATTTATGCACACCCTCTTGGGTTAAGCCATAGGTTGGCTGCAGACCTTATCAGCGGGGATAGTAGACATTTGCTTATTTTATTTTACCCCACTGTTCTTCTGAGGAGCTCAGAGTGGCACACGTGATTCCCATGCACTCTGCTACATAGGCAATTTACAGGACTGAAGCTCCTTAGCTTTGACCACAAAGCTGCATCCCATATGAGCCTCCCCAGCAGCTGAAATCTCTAGGTGCTATCACCTGTGAAAATTAGGTGACAACCAGGGATACAGTAGTACCTCCAGTTGAACGGGATCCATTCAGGAGGCCCAGCCATATCCTGAAAATTCCATAACCGGAGGGCTGCTTCTGCACATGCATGCACCGTCGCAGAGTGCTTCTGCGCATGCGCGGCAAACCCACTTCCAGGTTTGACGCGTTCGCAGCCAGAAAGTTACATTACCCAAAGGTAACGTAACCCGAGGGTCCACTACATTACATTTTCTGTGGTGGCACTCTGTTAATGAAACTCCCTCTAGATTCCCTGGTAGGGATGGAAAAGGAATCTGTTTTAAATGACTATATATGGAATTCAGCAGTTACAACCCAGCTGAGCATTGCATATGTATTATACAAAAAATTTATTGTATATTATTTACATGTATATACAAAAATTATATCCAAATAATATTCGTATTTTTAGTGGAGCTGGTTAGAAAACAACCCTCTTCTCATCCAGATCAGGGAGTGAGACATGAATTGGAAAAAGAATCTGTGTGCATAAGCCCAACACTGAGATTTCTAGAAAATAACATCCCAATCCTCTGGTGCCTTCTCTGTCTTACCTTTTTTGGACTAGGGAAAAATCTGCCCTGTTTACCTGGGCTTTTAGTGGCATAATTTAATTTCTGGCATTGGTTGCCTTTCCCCACCATCTTGTCTGCTCAGTTGCACTTAATGACGTCTTGCAACTGGTTTAAATGCTGCCTTTTTATGCATTATTGTGTTTATGCATTGGCATGCTTTTATTTTAACTGCTGCATTATTTTATTATTGTTCTGGTGGGGGCGTTGTGAACAGGTGTAAAGCCACTGAGAAACTTACAGGTGTTTTTTTCTCCCTCTGTTGTTTCCTATTGGAACTGGATGCAGGCTCAACTCCGACAATTTTGGCTTTGTCTTTCATGCGATGCATGGCTGTTACTCAGTGGGACCTGGTCTACAGGGCTATCTTCTTCACGATGGTCCTTCCACTCTTGGCTGTGTACGGCTTGGCTCCTGGTCTTCATATTGTCTCCATCTTTCATTTTCCATGCTGGTGCCCTTATCAAAGGAGTAAAGTACTTAGGAGGAGGAGTGCTGCTGCGGTTTCAGCCTTATTCAGAAAATACAGCAAAGCACGTCCAATAAATTATGATAGCTGGGCATCCGTCTCAAGGCTAGCACCCAGGACATAGGCCCCATTCATGCAGCGGATGAGATGGCCTTGTATGCCATTGTTCTCCCATGTGTAGAATAAGAATTATAGCCTTTTTATGCCTTACAGGAGTGTCACAAGGACAAATGCATTAATGGTTTGGAAGTGTTCAGATATTGCAATAAAAATAGGCAGGATCACGTAAGACTGTGTGATGGATACCTCGCGGGCTGTTGTACACAAGTGTTTCTATAATGAGAGACTGTTATGCCCTTTGTTAAGGAATGTTTTGCATCCTGGGATTCTAGTTAGAAAGCAAGCAAAGCCAGCATGCTAAAAAAAGTGGGAGGGGGACAATGTTGTATCTGGTTGTGGGGGGAGTGGGAAAGGGCTAATGCGATCTAGCCTTCAGTGTGGCTCGGCAGATACACAAATCATTGTAAATGTCAGATACTCTGTGAAGGAAAGAGCTAAGCTGACGTGAGTTCAGCTTTAATTAAGGTTGAAATATTGGAGCTGACTGTTGAGTCTTAGGCAAATTGGCTCAGCCTGTTATCATGAGGCATGAAAATTAACTACTCTAGAACTTGGTAAAAATAAACACATTTCTATCATTGGAATGTTCCAGTATAGGGTGGTGAACATCATGGTTGTTTATATCAGGGGCCAAAGGTCAACATCTGACGCAGAGTTTGCTAAGTGGTCTGCTGAGGCCCTCAGCCATTTTCAAGGAAAATAGGAAGCTTGAGAACCGCTGGTGCAGCTGATACGAAGTTAGATGGACCAATTCTTTGACTCCGTATAAGGCAGCTTCCTATGCATTGGCATTGCCTGTGCTTATCAAATCATGAAGGAACATGCCCAGAGGCCCTCTCTTCTTTATGGTAATTTTACTTGTTCTGGGACTCTTGTCACATCAGTGAAAAATAGCTCATCAGGTTTTTCCATGTGGAATGCTTATGCCGATTCATTTGTAGCAAATCTTTACTGATAGCTGCAGTGGTTGTGTGCCATGGCGTTAGCCACGTTGAATCATGCTCAACCTCCACCTTCAGTTCTCAAGTTGGAGCTGTTTGGTTATGAATAGAGAGTGCCAATGACAGGTGGTAATAGTAAGACGCCAGATAGGTGCCCACCAAGATACAGCAGCCTGATAGCTGTGGGTGTGGGTTGCATGATTGGCAAAGTTAAAATAAGCAGGGTGGGAATAAACACTTCCCAAGAGATTGTGTTACTGGTACTTTCAAGGGACCTTTTATTATAGCTGTTGGCATGTTTCTGGGTCCCCCAAAGTATTAGAGATTATTAAAGCTACATTACTGTACATGGCTACTCTTCTTGTACAGCATCGTTCTCAAACCACCCAAATAGGCATCACTGAATTTTTAATGAATCATTTAAATCTGTTTTTTCCGTCATAGTCTTTGGTCTATTTGTTGCTGAGGTGGGAAAATGGTGTTTGAGCTTTCCCAGTTCAGACAGCAGGTAGGAGCTCACATAACTATCTGAATGGTGATCCAAACCAGATAAACAATTGCTGTAGGAAGACTGGCACTTGCCTTGCCTTCTCCACAACTTGCTCATTTTCTAAGTGTTTTTTGTATGGAGGAAGAATGCTGTGATTGAACAAAAATCTCACCTTTTAGGGAAGAACATTCTGTCATATTGCACCTACGGTCACCAGGAGAGATGGATGGGCGAATCTTTCAGATGTGGCTTCTCATTTTTCCAGTCTAAAATTCAGTTCTCTAATTTCCTTATCTGTACCCCCCTCCGCAAAAAAATGTTTTAGGTCCATACATTTTTATATTGTTGTAAACTGCTGATATATTTTTATGATACAGCAGTATATAAACACTTTCATAAGCATAAATAAATAATACACATTTCTTAGTGCATTTCCCCCCTAATATATACTTTTTAAATTGAAGAAGAACAACACAGGATTTGAGGTGTGGAAATTTCAAATGAGATTCCTGCATTGCAAGGGGTTGGACTAGATGACCCTCAAGGTCCCTTCCAATTTTACAATTCTATTATTTCAGTATGTGAATTGATTCAGGTGGTGCAAATTAGGGGATCCCCCCATACCCAGCAGGAATTAGGCATAATCTCATTTATCAACACCACAAATTTAAGGAGTGGGTCTTTAAATTCCCATTTTACAGGTTGGGAACCAAGACTGAGTATTCCAAAGCTCCCAACATGTCCTTGGCTAATGTGGGAGTTCAGGCAAGGTCCAATCTTTGGTTCACTGAATAAGTCTGGCTCATTGTGGCCATAGCTGAATGAGTATTTACATCAAGAAAATGTTTGCTGGAAAAATAAATTTATGTAGCTGCTAGTTACCATGCCGCTGAAGTTTGATATATTACATACAGATTCTTTTTAAAAATTACAGCTTTTGAAAGGCCAGCCAAACAAAAAGTGTCCTTGGTGCCATTTATATTTATTATCAAGACCAGAACTGTACGTTTTAATAAAATGCACTTTATTGGTGGGTGCAAAAATCCAAGGTAAATGTGAACATAACTGACACAATACAATGTTAGCTGTCTAGAAGAGCAGCGGAAAGGAAATGTGTGTGTCTTAAATTTTGTAACATATACCTGCAAAGTTACCCACTTCCAAGCAGCTCTTGTCTAGTGTTGCTACTTATTTCTACCTAAAATGGAATTTGGTGGTACACCTGGCGAGGCAGCGGTGTCACAAGTGAAGTCTAAAATAGGATGTTAGTCTCACTGAAGAGATACTAAAAACCAGTTTTGGAAAATTCAAGCGTGGTGGTATGGGAAAGGGGAACTCTGCAGTTTTATAATGTCTATTTAAAAAACAAAACAAATGACAAAACATACAAAGGGTAACAGGGCTGTTCAATTATTATTATTATTATTATTATTATTATTATTATTATTATAAAAAGAATAGCCATCAAATGGGATTCAAAGAACTAGCAATCATCAGAATTCTCTCCTATAATCTGTTTAACATAATCAGCATTATATACCACATTGGGCAAATCTTGACTTACATTTTCAAATAGATTGGTTGTATTCCATTATCTAAGGAATGGTACCAGTTCTCCAGTGAATTTCTTCCTATAAAAGAATCTGGGACAGTTAATATAATGTCAGTTTACTTCAATTCTCTGCCACCATTTTTTCTGCCGTCCTCCTGTTGAAGGCAGAACTTGCTTCTTTCCAGTGAGCCAGCCATAAGAGGTGCAGCAGGGAGAAGAATCCCTGGGCCCAACCGAGGGAAACTTGACCCAGCCTCTTGTTCTGTACCTCAGTTTGAGGGGACAACAAAGGATGCTGCAATTGGATAAAAAAATCTCTGTGTCAATGGAAAAAACAGCCATGTAAATCCAGAATTCATGCCTGAGCCCTTGAGATGGTCTTGGTGGTAAATAACAACATGCTACTGCTAGACAATATGCTTAAAATCCTTTCCACCTTAGCATGCTGAGATCCAAATGCATCATCAGGATGTTTTACCACATACCTTTTGCCTTGTTCCTTGTTCTTGAAGGTCCAGCCTTGAATGACAAGGCCGAAGCGAAAGCAGGGAGCATCCCCAAGGTGTCCGGGCTGGAGCGCAGCCAGGAACTGAGCACTGACGTGCCCTTTGTGCTGCCAATCCACAGCCCCCCGCCGATCACTGTCGTAGTGACTTCCACCTCCTCTGCACCCACGTCGAGTGCTCGGGCAAGCCCGCTGTTGAAGAAAGAGCCATTGATCTCAGCACCAGCACCACCAAGACTCACCCCTCAGCCGCAGCCTCGGCCTCAGTCGCAACCTCAACCTCGACCTCAGTCACAGCCTCAGCTGCTGCCTGAGCTCCGGACCCAACCTCCAAGCCACATCCCCCCTCCTCTCAGTTACCCAGGGCTTCACCAGGTGGCCCACAACGGACTCAATAATATCAGGTGGGTAGACCGTGCTCATTTAGAGCTCTGATCTCTATAATCTTCTAGTGCAGTGATGGGGAATCTCTTGACTCCAAGTCCCATCAACCCCAGCCAGTGTGTTCAGTCCAGCAATATCTGCAGGGCCACATATTGTTGTGATATGGGTCAATTCCCATTTTGTTCATGCTTGCAATTACTTATTTCAGAAGGAGACAGTGAGGAGTGGTTTGCAGTAGTCTTCAACAACAGGAGATTTAGGACATTGTGCCTGAAAAGTGTATCAGAAGACGCTGGGGTGGGCAGGGAATATCTCAAGACATGTTGAAGAGGGAGGAGAAGCCCAGTGATAGCTTATGTGAAAATGAAATTGAATGTCATTCAGGAGTTGCTACCCTAGCTCAGATTGGGAACATCCCTTGGGATCTCTGCTGGATAGTAGATGGGTCAAAATATCTCTGACAGTGTTTTTGCTGGGACACTTTTACAAACGCTTTGGTTATTTTGCAGTTCTGCAGCCTTTCTAATGACACTTTCTCTCCCCACTCCCTGCATTTTTTTTTATTTCCACAGCAGAAGCAGCAGCGCCAGCAGTGCAACAAGTATTAGCCTTCCAAAACACCTCCCCATCTCTCCCCAGATCCCTCCCCATCATTCCTCCGGCCCAGCGTTACCCCTCTCCATCTCTAACCTTGCTGCCTCGCATTTCCCTCTCAGATCGCAGTCCCAACACCAGCACCATCCGGCCATGTTTGCCACCCCTCCTACGCTGCCACCTCCTCCAGCGTTACCCACCAACAGCCTTGTGATCCCTGGTCACCCCGCAGGTAGGTCCTATCATCCCTCATCTGGGTTTTGCACTGAGATTGATTCCCCTTGTCACGCTCTGTAAAACCCATTGCTTGCAGGGTGTGGTTAAGGTGAGGCAAAATCAAAAGGAAACCACCTGCTCTGGTGGTCTTTTAAAAGCAGCAGGTACATGATTGTAACTGGTAACAGATACTAAACTAGACCCCCAAGACAAGTATTCACTCTGTACGTTGCCCATGAACCGGAGAACATCTCCTTCCGGAGAATGATAGGAATTCAAGCGGAAGCCATCCCCATACATCAGGGGGTGCCCTCCCGTTGTTTTGGACTATGACTTCCACAACTCCTGACAGATGGCCATGTCGTCTGGGGCTGATGGGAGTTGCATTCTGCAGCATGTGGAGGGCACCATGTTGGCTATCCCTGCTCTAAATGTTACAGAGGGGCAAAAAGAACGAATGAAAGTAGGCCTTTTAAAATAGAAGTGTTTATCTTTCTGTTGAAATTGTGTGTGTGTGTGTGAGAGAGAGAGAGAGAGGGAGAGGGAGAGGGAGAGGGAGAGATGGTTATATTAGAAGTGGCTCAAAAATATGGGAGGAAAAAATGAAAAGAGAAGACAGAAATGCAGAGCATGCTGTCTTGCACCAGGTCAGCCTAGTTGTCATCTAGCCTGGGATTGTCTCTTCCGAGTACCAGTGCTTCTCCAGGGTTTCAGGCAAAGAGATGCCTTTTCTGTCATCCACTCCCTGATTGTTTTAACTGGAGATGCCAGGTATTGAACCTGAGACCTTCTGCAAGCAAACATGGTCTCTAGCAGCAAGCTATGTCCCTTCCTGAACTATACATGAATCAAATACTGAAGCCTCCTACACCACCAGGCAGGGCATTTCACAACTGGGAGGCCACCACTGAAAAAGCCCTGTCATGGGTCAGTGCACTGGGCAGCCACCACCAACAACAAGAAGACCTTATCTTGTGGTTCCACTCTTGGTGTTGGGTGCACAACATTTCTTTGGAAACATCCCCACATTTCCCAAACATACTTCTTATTAATGTCTTTTTTCAAGAGTTTTCATCAGTAATTTTGCTCTTTGCATTCACTTGTTGCTTCACCATCACACAAAAGAGAGCTGCAGTGCTCTTTGCAATACGTTTTCAGTTGCAGAGCAGATTCTGGAAGAAGATCCAGTTAGGGAAAGGAGCAGAGGGTGCATTGTCCTGTGAAACATTCCTTCCACTAAGTAGGGAAGAAGGAATTTGCATCTGGGAGAACCCTGAAGTATAGGCACAGCTGAGCAAGCAAGACTCTCCTATTAAAACCCAAGATAGCAGACAATAATCCTACCAGCAAAAGACAAATAGATCCCATCTTCTATATGTGTGTAGTAATGTCCTGTGCAATTTTTTTCAGATAATCCCGCCCCCTCTACATATCAGGACACTTTCTGGAGGGACGGGGAGCCTAGCAATCACAGATGGTTAATAACTTTTATTTTTTTCCTAGCTACATTTCAGAAGTTCCCTGTATATCCTTAAATATACATACATTTCTGCTTCAGCCTCTGAAACACACCGTTTAGTTTTCTCATTTGCCCACAGCTGTTCCTGTGGCAGCTGGAGATTTCTGTGGTGTTTTCACCCCTTTTGATCTGGCATTTGACTCTGTAACTAACCCAACAGGGATTAAAGTGGACACACATTTACACCAACACCCCCTTTCTGTTTCCTACAAAATCCAATTAACAAACAAGAAAGAGGGTAGGGGATTTCTAGCTGTTGAAAGCAGTGGTGCCTTCCATTTTGTCCTGTGTTTCCCTTTTGGAAAGTTCCAAACGTAAAACATGTGAAAAGGGAAAAAGAACTGGCCAAATATTGCTTTAGGCTAAACCATCTGATCAAGGAACTGGCTTCAAGCTGTTGTCCGATATTCCAGAGACTGAGAAGCTGGAGTAACTTGATTGTATGTTAAAGGCAAAAAAGGCTTAGAAACTTAGTAGAAAAAAACTACTAGAGAATGTTATAACTAGGATCACATCCACAGCATACATTTAAAGAGCAATGCTTCCCCCAAAGAAACCTGAAAACTAGTTTACCACTTACAGCTATTATTTCAAGCACCCATAACAAACTACAGCCCCCAATGATGAATTGGGGGAAGCCATCTGTTTTAAATGTGATTTAAATGTATGGTGTGGGGCAAAAATGGTAGAAATATCTTCCGCTGTTCGAAGCGGGTTTGCAAGCCAATGTTTGTGCTAACTGAGGTTTGCTGTTATGTCTGAATTCACAAACCTTTGACCCACCACAGTCACGGCCAAGGCTCCACCTCTGGGGGCTGCTGCACATCATAGAGACAAAAATGAACTTGAGAAACTGAGCACTGAGCAGATGGCATATAAAAGCAGACAGGCAGCTGTGAACCACGGCTTAGCTGCTCAACACATAGTGTGGTTATAATTCATACCTTGGTTTGGCATGATTTCTGAACCGAGCCTTTATCATGCAGCTGGGCTGGGCCAAAGCCACAAGAGTCATGCTGATATCTATATGCAGGGGGTGAACCAATGTTTGGAGGCAGCAATGGGCTGGACGTGGGCCACTCAATTGAAACTGAATCCAGACAAGACAGAGATGCTCTGGGCTGGCAGTTTTTGGGTCTAGGAATTGGTGGGGCACCCTGTTCTAAATGGGGCTCATTCCTCCTGAAGGAACAGGAACCTTGAGGGTACTTGAATCATCCAGGTCACTTGAAGGCCAGGTAGCTTTTGTGGCTAGAAGTTCCTTTCCTCAGATACAGCTGGTCTGCCAGCTATCTCCATTCCTGGACAGAGATAGTCTAGCCACAGTTATCCATGCTCTGCTAACTTCAGTGCTGGGCTACTGTAATGAGCTATTGTGAGAAGCATGGGCACAGGCAGGGAGGACAGCTACCCCACCCCCAAATCAAGTAAACCTATTTAAAAATACTTAACTAACTGAGGTTATAACCCACCCACCCCAACATAAAACCTGCCCTCCCAGCATAAATCTTTGATAACTGTCCTGAAGTTGCAACTTGTTCAGCATATGGTGCCAGGGAGTGAGGGGGCATAACATCAATTCTTGGTTGCCTATTATTTTCCAAGCCTAGTTGAAGGTGCTTATGCTGGCATTTTCAATGCTAGGCACAAATATCTCTTTCCATTCTGACCTGTCCAAGTTTTAAGATCTGTAAGGGAGATCCAGGCCTTCCCAGGGGACGGGGTGGGGGAGGTTTACTGAGAATTTGTATGTTTGGGATCAGTGCTGCAGTCCTTTAATTTTTGTTTTTTCATGCTATTTTTAGGATTGTCTTTTTTTGTTAAGTTTGATTTTAATGTTTCTGTGTCCTGGAACCTTCAGGTGAAGGACAGTTTATAACTACTTTTAATTCAATTTAAATAATACTTCAAAGTGACTTTGAGGTACAAGCTGGATATGTTGTTGCCTGGAGTTCAGCAAGCAGAAGAAACTGCTTTACTGACCAAAATGTCAACAACACAAGTTTCTTCTAATATTTATAACCAGGCCTGACCAATCAAGAGGCTTCATACTGCTGGCCAATCACAGGGGTCAGTGTTGCAAACCCCCATTCCTTTTCTGTTGATGAAGGAGCCCCTGAAGCTCGTATATTTTACAGGAGCTCACTAGGCTTTGTTCCAACCCCAGACCTTGATGTCCCCAGTTCCAGCCCAGAGTCCTGACGCCTGTTGTATAAATCAGGAAGTCTCTAGTCTGTAGTTGTGACCAAAAAGTCATGAATGCACTAGGTTTGCTTAGGTATGCCTCTCTCTCTAAACCTCAGACCGTATGTGCAATATGAAGATAGAGATACTAATGTGTTTTACAGAGCTGTTGCAAGGATACAGAAAGA